AAAGGAGGGCTCAGACTAGCTGGTGGTGTAGTGGGAACTCATCCTCTCTGTGATGCTGGCCCCACGTGGGTAGGTCTCGAGTTCACATCCCAGGCTCTCCCCGTGCATAGCGGTACAGGCATGCCCAGGATCCCAGCCGGCTGAGGCTGCAGGTGGATAGCAGCATGAAGATCCCATTGAGAGTGCCCTTCTCCTCTCTATTTCTCTGCCCTCTCTCTCTGTATATATATATACACCACATTGGGTTTATTAGTCTGGAGACACCTTGCTAATACAAAGGTCTGATGAAGGAATCTCAAGTATTTATTTATGTGGATATCAAAAGTGTCAGCATGAATTTGGTGAACCTTTTAATGGAACACACAAGTGGTACCTACCCCTTCTGTTCACAGGACTGACCTACAAGGATCAAAGATGCATGCTCTTTAGAACAGGAAGAAAGTGCATGTTTCTCACCTCTCTTTGACTCTAGTACCGAGGATCCTGAAGGAAACATTTCCCAAAGGCAAGAACTTGCACACTTCTCCTCTAGTCCATTAAGTCTAGGTGTTTCCTAATTTACTTCAAAAGTACGGAGAAGCCATAGGTAGTAGACATTACAGTTGGTTTTGTTTATATCTGGATAAACTGAGAACATAATCCCGTGACAACATCATCCTTGTTCTTATCATTATGAGACACAATTTACAAATCCTGGACCAGAGTGTGTCTGTCCTAGGGTCTGAACCTGGTCTGACTTGGCCGTCTTTGTTCTCAGTCACTATTCTGCTCCTCACACGTAGGTACATACACACGTGACTCCACATGTGCTCCAAGTGAATGGTTTCTGCAACACTCCTTGATATGGCATGTCCTTAGGACCTCCACTCAATTCTCAGAACTTACAGGTTTCCTGGGCCCCTCACTGGTCTTCTTCCTAGACATTTTAAATCAAGATCAAGAGCATCATCGTAGTACTACCACTTACTCAGGGTCTGCTGTCCTGCAGATACCTATCAGCTTTGCTTTTCACGAAAACACTGCAATACCTTGCTAGTTACTCTGACTTAGACACCCTTGCTGAAGCAAGGTGAGCAGTTTGTATTGCCAGCCAATGTTTGCCCGAGACACTGAGGCTTGAATCCTGCTTTGCAATTTCCTCAAGCTTACTGTTGCATCCCCACATAGTAATAATAATGCAATCATCCATTCCAAGAGATGGGCAGTTTTCACTGCACATCCCTTGTGTTCCTGGAAATCTTGAGAAAACTATGTTTTCTTCTGGCTAGAAGTGGAATTCCCCAGATTGAGAAATCACCTTGATACATGGACCGGTTCATTTGTTATTCATTAGCAAATAAAACTAAGACTTTTCTTTGCATTTATTTCATTGTTATAATTAAGACTTAATGACAATAAACAAAACATATTCTGACGGCTTCCAAAGGGAAAATTTTGAATTCTTCTTTTCCACTTCATTTAATCTATCTAGTTTTCCATTTATTCAACATTCACTGAAAATGCTGCATCAGGCTCTGTGGTCTCTTTCGTTGGTCTGGATCCACTGAAAAAAGCCACTCAGGGGTCCAGCCAGATTGTATGGTGGTTAAGGCAGCTGGATTCCACATGGCTGACCACGCAGTTCGAGTTCCAGACTGGTGGCTTGAGAATGCACTGGGCATGTGTGCATGCATGTCCAAACTCCTGAGAGGAGAATGGAGAAAGGATTGTGGCCTGGCCATGCCCCGTAGGTGGTTCTCTCTCTCTCTCTCTCCCTCTCCCTCTCCCTCTCCCCTCCCTCCCTCCCTTCCTCCCTCTCTACAGGCAAAAAAAAAAAAAAAAGTCAGTCAGGATAGTTTTTTTTTTAATCTTGTCTCTCTGAGAGACAAAGGAAGGCCTCACTGAATCAGGCCTAGACTTAAAGCCTGAAGTAATCAGCATTCTCTTTTCAACTCCCAGTCTAAGTTCCTTGTCACCATTTGCTACACATGTGTGCATGATTCTGAAATACCCAGGCTCTCTTACTTTGCTTGCTTTTTAGGGATCCTGTTATCCCTTTTCTTCCCCAAGTACAGGGAGATAGACAGCCTGTACCAACTTCTCTTCTGGTTCCTCGGGACTTCTAGATCTGGCTCTCTCCAGGTCAACGGTATATCCATAGAAACAAGAGCTTAATAACCATCAGGTAGTTACTTATATAGAAGGGTGCTTCAAAAAGTTTGTGGAAAAATGGAATGCGATTTAATTTATCTGTGCACAAAAATAATTGGAATCCATGTCGATTTTTCATAACACACACTTTCCGTACACTGTCTGGAGACTCCTCAGATGGGCCTCATGTAGCTTTTAGGAAATTTCTTCCTTTACAGGGAGATACATTGCAACACCCAAAGGCTAAACTTGTAAACGAGTCAAAAACAGAATGCAAACCCAGGTTTCTCAGCTCTGTCAGCCCTGTGTATGCAACTTTCTAGTTTCCAGCAGGACATAAATGATCATTTTATTGCTATTCAGATGCTGCGAATCCAAGAAGTTTGCAAAACGCAGTGTTCTCCTTTGAACTGATTTCTATACTGTGCTCTGGACGACACTGCACAAACAAGCTTTAATGGACCTTCTTCCTCCATGCCAGGCACAATCCCTTTTGTCTCAGCTGGTCATCTTGTTTTCCCAGTTTTTCAAGTTTCTTTGTTTATTTTTTTCTTCCATGAAAGAGGGAAACAGAGAGAGAGAGAAAAGGAGAAAGAGAGAGGAGGACACTCTTCAATAGTCTTGATGCCATGATCCACCCCCAGCCTGAGCCAGCCTGCATCATGGAAGTGCATGTGTGCACACAGTGTGCATGTGGAGACCTGGGGGTACAAACCCAGACCATCCATGGCCTCAGCATTGCCAGCAGGCCGTGTTATTGTGTCATCACAACTTGCCTGATCATCTTGCTTTTATGAGAAACAGGAAGCTGGCTGGCTCCACGTCATGGTGTAATGCACTGCTCAGTAGAAACTGGATCCCACGTGGTGACCACAGTTCAAATCCTCAGCCCAGTGTGCCCGAAACATGCCAGGCATATGCATAAGTGCTAAAGGACTAGAGGAAGGGGATCATGGCTCGACCAGATGCTGTGGACGGTGCTCCCCCAATCCCTTTCCCCCCCCCTCTCTCTCTCTAACATGTGTATGTGCGTGTTCTGCCCTCAGTAGAAACTGGATCCCACGTGGTGACCACAGTTCAAATCCTCAGCCCAGTGTGCCCGAAACATGCCAGGCATATGCATAAGTGCTAAAGGACTAGAGGAAGGGGATCATGGCTCGACCAGATGCTGTGGACGGTGCTCCCCCAATCCCTTTCCCCCCCCCTCTCTCTCTCTAACATGTGTATGTGCGTGTTCTGCCTTGGATTAAACCCCCCCCCCTCTCTAACATGTGTATGTGCGTGTTCTGCCTTGGATTAAAAATGTTTTTTTTAAACTAAGAAAACAAATAAGCTGAGAATTAGTTAATTTCTCAAATTGGTCAAAGACATACTATTCAAAAAAAAACAAAAAAGGAAAAGGTCAAAATTTAAACTGAGACCTTGTTCTGAAAGTCCTGTTTGTTAAACCTGAAGATGCTGGTGGGAGGGGTACTGCTTTGAATCATTAATGGTGTGCTCTCACCACCCACCTTCTTCCCTGGGCCACATCACGCATGTCACACACGCAGCCCGGGCAGCTGAGAAGTCCGCGTACATTGATCCCAGAGCAAATTAGAGAGAAAGAAATATGCTCACATTCATATCTGGAGGTCCAAAATAAATTTTTCCAACACAGGAAAAGGACAGCATCCCGCGATGGCCTCAGTCCTCTGAGCTAAGCTCTGACCTGAACAGTGGGTAGAAGGGAGGCTGTTGGACCCAGGCGTGTCCCTGGCCAGGATTCCCTCTCCGGCTGAGAGGACGAGAAACAGTGGGCAGCCAAGAGAGGAGCAATGGTGAGTGTCCCCGAGAAGCCCTTAGCCTGTCATGCTCCACAGCCCAGTGTCCCCAGATCAACCCTGGGGACCAGAGAGAGCAAGAGCCCTCCCGGTGCCCCAGGTGGAAGCTACTGGGTCGTGGCTCCTGGCCACGGTCCCTGAGACTTGACAAGGGTCCAGAATTCTCTTGCCTCCTTAACACCGGGAAGTGGAAATGGTTGCCATGGTACTGAGGTGCTGTGTGGCCTCCAAACACCCAAGGCTCTGGGCGAAGTAGTTAAACATGTCTCCAAGTGGTCTGATAGATCTTGAGGGCTGAAAGATTCGAAAGGCCTTTCAGACAGAATAAAATGTTTCATGTCCTGCTTGACCAGTGCCCACCTGGGAAGGGGCCTTCAGGGCAGATAGCACCGGCAGAGGCTGCTCAATGACCAGGTGTCCCTCCCTGATGCCAGGATGCTAGGTTGGGCCCCTGGAATTTAGGTGCTGTTCCAGGTACGTGAGCAAGTGCATAGCGGAGCAACCTGAAATTAACAGAATTTATTCTAAATTCATACAATTAAAAAAATTAAGTTTTCTGGCTTTCTATTGTCAGGTAGAATGAGACGTTGACCTAGAATCTAAGTCAATAAAAGCAGTTGCACTTACTTGCACTCTAAACATACGGGTTTACTATTTATTCCAATTTTGCTTATTTATGTCCAAAAGGTCAGTGAACACATTTTACAAAGACAGACGTTCAGTGCGGAGAGAGGACGTTCTGCTAAACAAGCAGGAGGAGCGGAACGTAGGACTTACAGCCTCCATAGCGTGATCACGTCGCATCCAGTCCCCTATTGTCATGGATTCAGTTTTGCACTCGCAACTTCCAAGTCTTCGGTGGCGTCTTCTTCTCTCTGCATTTCCACTGGGCCTTCCCAACCTCCTGTGGCCCTGGCCCACCCACTCAGGGAGAAGAGAGGTGCTGGGGACACAGACATCCCTATTTCAACCCCTGAACACAGTAGGAAACAATAAATTGTTAAGTGAATTTGTTTTGTAAAGAAATCAAAAAGGCTACTGGATCATGAATGATTTTATTGATTTTATTGATTTGTTTTGTAATTTACACTGTTTTTTTAATTACTCATCAAACAGAATGAGATCCAGTCATTCTTCTGTGGGGTTTTGAATGAGGACATGTCCAGAGCTATTTTCCATGGGGTGGCGATCTGGTCAAGAAGGGAATCTTGGGCCATGTCCACTCTTCTCTGAGGACAACAGCTCTCAGCACAGGAGAATGTGTTGTCCTATAGACAGAAATGAATGGGCTGAGGTCCCTCTGGGTGATTCCAGGCAATGCTGACCCTCTTCCTCTGCATTGCGAGGGAGAGGGCAGACTCCTAACCCCTGGGGTGGAGGATTGTCTCCAAGGTCTTATCCCTGACACTCTTCAGGAAAGTGAGCACAGCAGTTCCGCCCGTGCCCCTGCAGGCCTGCGGTAGCTCTGCTAGCCCCGGGGGCTGGTTCAGCCTCCTGCCCTTTGCTCTGGCTGCAGCTGTGATGAGGTATTTGGTCACAATGGTGATGTGGTAGCTGCGCAGCTCCACCAGCACCTCCAGGCACCGGTTGTAGGCGGCCAGGAAGTGGTCGTGTCCAGAGGACAGGATGAAGTCCCTCAGTGCAGGAGCTGCCCGGACTTCTTCTATGAAGGCCTTGTGAGAAGGCGGCATGTAGTCTCTCATTCTGTGCAGAAAGTCAGCTGGAAGAGACAACCCGAACAACGTCACAACCCCGCAGGGGACCAAGGGAGGGCCTGCCTGCTTTTGCAGACATGCATGTGGCAGGAATTGTCACTGGTGTCCCCAGTGAACAGTCTACTTTGCTGGTTTTACTGCTTGTGGGCTTCAAATTCTCAGATGCACGTTTCTGCATGCTGACAGGAGACAAAGAAGAAAAAGAGGATCAAGCGTATTTCAGGTAACGGAGTTAGAGCTATGTGTAAATATTTGTCATATGGCAGAGGTAAACCAAGTATCTAGTTGCAGCTACTATTAGGGATATCCGCACAGGTAGGACACCGACTCTGAACGGATAAGCTAGATGCTCTGGTGAAATTCATTTCCTAAGTGCTCTGTTCTGGATGGAGTGTCAGGGAAGACAGATATTCTAGACTGTGTACAGCAAAAGATACTGAACAACTGCTGACCCAGCCAGTGGTGTGGTGGCTAAGGTGGCTAGATCCCTCATGGCTGACTGCACAGTTCAAGTCCTGGACACAGTGTGTGTCCATGCCGTGTGTGTGTGTGTGTGTGTGTGTGTGTGTGTGTGTGTGCGCGCATGCATGCACAAAATCCTGAGAGGAGAATGGAGGAGAAGGGGTTGCAGCCTGGCCATTCACCCTAGGAGATGCTTTCTCACATTCGCTTTCTGTCTCTCTGCTAGCAACAGCCTAGTAACACTCTCTTGAAGTCAAGTGGTTTCAATTTCAAATCAATAGTGGTGAGGTGCAGTAATAATCAGACACACATGAGAAAGGCCCTGGGTTCATGTCCCGTGACCTCTCTGCAAGCCTGTGATCCAAGCTAGTGAGACTTGGGGGTTGATCATGGCATAACGATCCTCTTGGAGCACTTGCCTCACTGTCTCTGTGTCTCTCTCATCTGTCTGTCTCTGTATGTCTCATGGAAAAAAGTTAAACTTTCTTTTTTCCTATAGGGGTATGTGTGCTCACCAGCAAGAGAGGGAAAGTGAGGGAAAAGACCCGCCTTAGGAGGGGTGGCCACACCACAATCCCTTCTCCATCATTCTCCTCTCAGGATCTTGAACACGTATACACAAATGCCCAGAGTGTTTTTCAAGCTGTTGCTGGATCTTCAACACAAACCAGAGTTAGCCATGTGGGATCCAGCACCCTAACCACCATGCCATCTGCTGGCCTGATTAAACTTTAAAAAAAAAAGTTAAATCAGTAAATAATTATAGGAAATCTATATGTGTATAACATTATGTGTGGCAAATTCTTCACATCACCAAATGCAAAAATTCATTAAAAAGTATCATAGTAACTAGAGAACTGACTTTTGTAGATAAGACTAGACTGTATGACATTAAATTCTAGTCACTTTTTTTCCTAATCTAACTTGAAAATTCTGTATTATAAAGGGCCTTTTTGCAGCTGGTAAACACTGCAGGTAAGAAAAGGAGCAACCTCAGGTTTCTGAGATGATGGGCCCTCTTGCATTCCAGATTTGGCTAGAGCTTTACTGGAGGACTGTGGGGCCATTCCCAGCTGCCTCTGGACTCTCCAATGTGAAGTCATATCCTTCCAACTCCAGCTGTCCCCAACTGTGGAAAAGGAAGCTACTGCCTAAGGATTCAACCCAAATTATAGCCTATATCTTAAAGTATATCAGATCTGGAAATGGAACCCAAGAGTGAGTTGAGATCTGATATTAATTGACTTGATACCCTAACATATGGCAGGCTTACAGCTGATGGAGGGGAAAACAAAAGGGCATGCTTGCAGGTGAGGTAGGGAAATACAATCTTCCTGACATTTTCATTTCTACTTGGCATTATCAGTTAGTAAAAACATTTCTTCCTCCTCTATCTCCTCCTAAGGAATAACAGAAAAAGAAAACATGTCTGACTTACCACTTTCCTTGCCATGACGGACACCTAAGAACTCATCAAAGACATGAAGCACTGTGCTCTGAGCTGCACTGCCCCCCGAGTATTGCAGGGGCTCCTCAGAGACACCTTCATACTTCAGCCCGGTTGGCATTGCTGGGTTATCTTTCCATCTAAGTAAAAATCAAAGTCAGAGAGAAGAACAGAGTGCCAGGAGTTAACAGTGTATTTTCTGATACAGAAATTGAGAATGCGCAAGACAGGGAACCTGATTTCAGGGTTTACTTTAAGGCAAAGCATGGGATATCTTTGTGAGCTAAGAATTCAAGCTTCATCTTGACCCCAGCTTCATAAGGGGTCACCAAATTGCAGCCCTTCTCTTCCTTATTTAAGGGGTTCCTTTATAGAAGTAAAAGGTATTTAAACAGGAATATTTGGTATTGATCCCATGGCATAGTCACTGAAAAGACTCAGTTATAAGAATGCAGCCAGTGTTGAGTGACAGAACAATTTAAGCTCTGAAGAAATCTTTACCTCCTCTGCTCATCTCAACCCTGATGACCTGATGCTTTCAATTCTATAAGTGGAGCTTCACAAATACACACAAATATATGCCAACACACAACCGTGCACCACTTTGCCTTTCCCTGGAACCACAGTAACAGATGTCGTGCTACTCTCAGTGCTAGCTATCATCTGACTTTCTGGAAATGCAATTATCAGATGCTTTGTTGACAGTCAGGGTGGGTGGTAAGGGTGGCAACAAAGAGAACACAACCCAGCCCTGCAGCTTCCCAGAGGCTGAAGTCGAGCACATGTAGCAAGACTGGAACCAGGGCTCTTAGTCATGGCTCGGATTAAGTGGGCTTTTCTCTCCCCTCCCTTCCCTTCCTCTGCTTGTCTCTCTTGCTGATTCCCTTCAGTTATGGTCTGGATAATGGTTTTTCCCCTCCAAGTTCAAGTTTGAGAATTTCGTCTTAGTGGGCAGTGATTGAATGTCCTCCAAAAGCTCATGTGTTGAGACTTATTAATGTGTCAGTAAAAACTCAAGCCCTTCATGGTGTCCCAGAGTATGACCTGTGGGGGCAATAAGGTCCTTAGGGCAGGGCCCCCCTAACTGAGTTTTGGTGCGTTTATAAGGAGAGCAAACGAGGTGGGAAGAGCCCATGTGGTTATAGACCATGCCCTGTTCTGCTCCAACTTCTGCCGCCCACTATTTTGTGATGATTTTGGACTTCCCAGCCACCAGAATGTGAGTCAATAAATCTCTACTTCTTCATAAATTACCCAGCCTCAGGTATTTCTGTTATCAACACAGTAACAGACTAAGGTGTCTTCCTTCGTTGTTTTCTCTGAGTCACCCTCTTTCTGTCTTTATGTATTTTATTCATTTCCCTATGTCTGAATTTCATAGTTTTGAACAATCACAGACTACATGTGGGTGACTCAATGAAACAAAGACAGTAACAACAAGAGCACATTCCATTTGCAGCTCAATCCTTGACGGTTTTACAGCGCCTTCACATTTTTTTCTCATTTAACGTCTTGTGAGTAGATCACGATGGCTATTTTTTTTTAACCTCATTTTATAGAGAAACAAGGACTTAAAGCTAGTAAATTTCTAGAATCAGATTGTTAAAAAATGATGGACCCTATTTATCCTGCATAACTGCAATATAGTCTCTTCAGTCTACCTTCCATTCTCTCCGTATCATGCCGGGTAACCAACATTATGCTCTCTCTGTATATTCAATTTTTTAAAAGATTCCTCCACAAATCAGTAAAATCATGCAGGATAAAAAAAATGATGGAACCAGAACTTGAACCTCAGACTTGTCATTCTCTGTTTTCATTTTCCCAAGAACCCCAGGCCTGGACTTCTACATTTTCTCTTATGTCCAGCAATAAGCTGCCATTGTAGTTATGACGGTCTAAACAATAGGTTTACGTTGGTATTTCACCTATTCGTATAAATTGAAGTCCTTTTTCTCCAGTGAATGCACACAGAAGCCTCGGGCAGACTGCACTGCTCTGCTCACTGTCGAATGCTCGAAGTGGCTGGATATCTCCTTTGGGGATGGTTTGAGCTGGCTCTTCTTGGGTTTCATTGGATGAACCCAGTGGCCTTTGCAATTGGGCTGATATCACTCTGGGCAGAGATAGGACACAGAGAGTGGACGGGGGGAAGTGGAAGAGAGGAACGATTACCACCGTAAGGTCACAGCAGGCTCTGTGTAAGGAACGAGGAGTCTACTTCAGGCAGTGTGGAACTTCCTGTCAGTTTTGCTGTGACTCTATGAACCTTGCCTAGTTCATTTGCTTCCTCGAGCCTTAGTTTTCTTATCTGAGTGACATTAGTAACTATTGAGCGATTGTGAGAACTAATTAAATATTGAATTGTTGGAAAAGTCATGACACATTTTTACATAGAAAAACATAGAAAAGTACATCATGACTTTTCCAACAACCCAATACCAACTTCTTGTGCCTGGGGGACTTTAAATGTTCATGAAAAAAATGAAATCAGGAGAGAAGCTTATTATGGTACCAAAAAAAAAAAAAAATAGAAATCCAAGCATTTTTTTTTAAATAAGGTACATTGTCCATGAACTTTTTGAAGATTTCTGTGTATTAAGCCCTCAGTACTTATGAGCCATTTTACCATATTATTCTCACTGAATTGGAATCCCCGCTCCCTCTTTTATTATTTTGTAACTTTGTACAAATCATTTTGACCCCCTAGTTTGAATCTGCTTTCTACAGCTGTTGGAAGAATGAAATACCCTCAAGAGAGGGTTGTGGCTTGTCAGCATCAGGACAGTGGTCCTACGGCATTGCCGAGCATCGTTTTACAGAGGTGGTTCAGACGTGACTGTTATGGGGCAGTGGACAGGCCAACTGCACGTGGGCACCCCTGTCCAGATCTGTCTTTGTAATCTGGCCGAGGTTCTCCGAGGCCATCTCATTCTCCTTCACTAATTCCTTCCCACTTCTACGTGGTGGACTCACAGAACTCAGTCCTTGGGACCCTCGCACTTCCGAAGTTTTAGTTTCTCCCAGCCAATAGCACTTAAGGGAGGGCTTCGTTAACAAAATGGACATTGGGTGACACCTGTTCCTCATTTTCACCTTGTCCATTTATTGCTTTCATTTTTCATTTTTCACAATTAAAAACAAAGCAAAAAAACACCTTAATTTCCTTCAGTTTTTGTAAGAAAATCAAATTAAAACATGCTGAGTCAGAAATGATCAATGTTCAAGAGAAGAAATGTATCTAAGAGTTCTCTGGAAAAATGTCAAGCCACATGACAAAAAAGAAGTACCGAGACAAATGAAGAATTCATAAAGGATACTGCCTTAGTCGACTCCTTTTACTGTAACAAAATACCTGAGAGTAGGTAGTTTGTAAATAACAGACATTTATTTCTCACAGTCCTAAAGGCTGGAAAGTACAAAGCCAGGGCACTGGCAGGTTCAGTGTCTGTGAGCGTCCAGTCTCACCAGGGCTGCATTCGCCTCTGTCCTTATGCGCTGGAAGGGATGAAAGGGCAAGAGGGTGAAAAGGGCCTAGCTAGTTCCCTCAACACTTTTTTAAATAAGGGTGTCAATCCTGTTTATGAAGATGGAACCCACATAATCACCTCCAAAAGGCCCCACCTTCTAATACCACTATCTTAGTGATTAGGTCTCTTTCTTTTTCTTTTTCCTTCTTTCTCTTTTTCCTTCTTTCTCTCTTTCTCCCTTTTCTTCCACTCTATCTTTCTCTCTTTCTTGCTTAAGATACTTTGCAGTAGGGCATGTGTGCTCACTGGAGAGAGACAGAGACAAAGACAGAGAGAGGGACAGTGAGAAATCGCCTTCGGGGGTGTGTGTGTGTGTGTGTGTGTGTGTGTGGCCATGCTGCAATCCCTTCTCCTCTAGTCTCCTCTCAGGATTCCAGGCACGCACACACATATGCAGTGTGATTTTTCAAGCCACTGAGTCTCAGCCACCAACTGTGGTAGACTATGTGGGAGTCCAGTGCCTTAATCACTATACTACCTGCTAGTTTTTGTGATTAGGTTTCAACATATGAATTTTGGAGGGACAGAGACATTCAAAACACAATAGGTAGATCTTCCAGTAACTGTAATAGAAAGATTTTATGCTGTCTGTTTCACTTGCCTCAAAACCAAGAGGAGAAAAGTGGGTAACAGTGACAGAGATACATGAGTGGCAAACTGGGCTTTATTTTCCCTACTGTCAAGGTAGGATTCTAAGTGAATACAAATAGATCTGATTTGATGACTTAAGGACAATCACTCCAAACTAAATATTCAGCCCTCAGTGTCATTCATCACGAAGACGGTGCCCACGTCTCCACCTAAGAGTGGGCCCCATGATTACCTTGCTGGCAAGGGGCACTTACTTGCTGTATTTTCCACTCTAGGAAGTTTCTGCCTGTTTTTTCCTCTTACATTTGGAAAATGCTACAAAGTCTGCATACAGGAAAACACTTGAACTATACTTACCCAGAGAGGAAGACTCGGATAACTGCATAAAATATGTCGGGGTCTACATAATCTGGAGAAGCAATCAGAAGTGAACTTTACTTCAGGCAAAAAAAGCGATTGGTTCCATGTGCGCGCCCCGCCGCTCCCCCGGGGCTGCGCCTCTATCTGATCCGCACCGAGGCCTGGAATAGAAGTGGCAGCACTAGCACGAGGCAGATGGAATGCCCTCCTCTGCCGGCCCCCTTGCTGGCGCCTGCAGAACTTGTAAACTCTTCCACATGCTGACCTTTTCTATTTGTGGTACTTCCCTTTTCTGTACTTAATAACAACAACAAAAGAGAGATCAAGGCTGTGTTTAAAAATTTAATATTTTCAATAGACATGCTATTTGGGAGAATGTGGGAAGCGGAGAGGAACACTGAGTCTACCACTGCTCAAGGGCAGGTCAAGGGAGGCCACCGGGCTGGAGCACACCTCGCCCAGGAATTGCCACAGCAGGATAGGCTCGGGTTCACTGAGCTTCACGGTTAGCTTCGGTTGGTTCATTGATAAGTGCAGCTAATTTTAGATAGACCCCAATGCCTGGAGAGAACTGCCTCCACCAGACGATCACCTTGTACATAAGCAAACATGTCCTCTATGGTACTAAGTTTCTTTTCATCATCTTTTGAAGGTTGTTCTCTATTCTTCATGTAATAGTGCCTCTAGGAATTTTGTGACCTAGTGCAAGTTTATCTGATGCCTGTCCACGTCCCTGTTTCTGAAAGGAAAAAAAAACTGTCTTTTTCATGAGGCCTAAATAAACACATCTCCAAATTATTGGTTTCTCTTTCCTGCCATCATGTAGTCTCTGGTTCTCCATCCCTTCTTCCTGTTCTCTACTTTCTCTGAAGCCACTATGGGCCCAGGTGACTCGCACCTCCTCTATCTCAGTGGTGAGAGGATCAAGTTCTCTCTGCTCACAGGTGACGATGCGGTGTTCTCTGCTCACACGTGACAATGCCACGTTCTCTCTGCTCACATGGGATGCTGTGGCATTCTCTCTGCTCAAATATGGCAATGCCTCACATGGTGGATTCTCCTTCTCTGGGCTCTATGTCTGGATCTTCCCCGTTGGCGATGCTTCCACTGAAACTGCTAAGTGCTATCTACAGCTTTTGTCAAAGTGCAACTGGATGGCAGAACTTAATATTTTACCCAATCCAACTTAATATTAAAGGAAAAGAAGCCAAATGATCATTTCAGTAGATGTAAAATACTTCTTCACTTAAAATAATTCCAATATATGCAATAAAATAATTTATTGTTAAAACAAATACAAAAAAGTTTAATTAAGAATAAGAGATGTCCTTAAGGTGATAGAAGGAATCCACGGGAAGCCCACAGTGCCTAAAACATGTGATGGGGAAACACGAAAAACGTTCTTCAGTGTGGATCTAAATAAGAATCAGCACCTCCATCCAGCACTGTGTTAGAGATCTTAGCCAGAGGAATAAAAAAAAAAAAATTAAAAGAAATAAAGTTATATTTGTATAAACGAAGAAACAAAATATTCTTCTCAAATATTATGATCTCTACATAGAAAACTGAAATAATCTACAGATAATTATTAGAATCTCCAAGGTGTTTACCAAGGTGCTAGAGTCAAGGTTAAAATTCAAATATCAATTTCATTTTTCAAATCAGCATCAACAGTCAGGAGATGATAGTTAAATCGAAAGATATCATAGTCACTAAAAAATAAAAATCAAGTCACTAAATAAAGCAGAAGGTAAGTAAGCCCTTTACTTTGAAAACTATTGATGAAAATCTAGCAAACAAAAAGATCCACTTTTATTTTTTTTTATTGCCAAAGGTGATGTGTACTCACTGGAGAGAGACAGAGACAGAGGAAGTGAGGAAGCAGCCTCCCATAGGAAATGACCATACCATGATCCCTTCTCCTCCATCTCTCTTCCTTTCAACATTTTGAGCACACACGCACACCCACTGGGCAAGTTTTTCAAAACCCAAGTCCCAGTTTGGAGCTCAAACTGTGTAGTTGACCATGTTGGATCCAGCCACCTCAAACAGCTGGCCTGGTACTCTCATATACAGTGTTCATGAACACGGAAACTCATTATCAATATCCAAGAGAAGAAATGTATTAAAAAGAAGAGTTCTCTATTTGGGTATATTTCAGGCCATGTAAGAAAAGAAAAATATTCAGTGCTATATAAAAAAAAGGGGGATAATTAATTCAAGAACCTCAGTTAATATTTTATGCAATTCTTTCTCTCTGTCATAAGTCAGAAAGATTGAATACAATATTAAAATCATGCTACTTTTCTCTAATTAACATATATATTTAATACAATTGGAGCAAAATTCCCAATAAAGGTTTTTTTTTAATGAAATGATATTTGTTATTAACATGCAATAATTGTACATATTTGTGGGAGTACAATGTGATTTTTCAATACATGAATACAATGCACAACGATTAAATGAGGGTAATTAGTATGCACATCTTCTGAACCAATTGTCATTACTTTGTGTTGGGACCAAGAGAGAGTTTTTAAAGGTGACAAGCTGATTCTAACAGTCTGAATGAAAGTCAGTTATCTGTTGATGATAGTATATGTGGTAAAATCTTTGACTAGACTAATACACAGAATATTCATGCTGGCAAAATTAATTTAGTATGCTGCAAAGATGTCCACGATTGAATGTTAAACAAAAAGAGAGAAAATAAAGGAAGAGGAAAAAGGCAAGTACAGACACTCCTAAAGAAGGGAAGCAAGATAAGGAGTGCTTATTCTATTTAAAAATGGGGAATATTACAAAGTTATCATTTTTTCTTTGTTTTAAGAGATTTTTTTGCTATAGGGCATGTGAACTCACCAGAGAGACAGAGAGAGACAGAGAGATAGAAAGTGAGAAATCACCCCCCAGGGGGGATGGTCACGCCACAATCCCTTCTCCTCCATTCTCCTCTCAAGATTTTGGACACACATGCATACATGCCTGGCATGAGTCTTAAGTTGCTGAGTCTGGGACTTGAACAACAGTTGACAAGATGGGAGTCTAGTGACATAACCATTCTGCCATCTGCTGGTACCAGAAGCTATCATTTTGTAAGGTAGTAGTATTGAGGCAGGAACAGACAACGAAACAGAATGAAGAGCCTACAAACAGATTCATTTGCTTAAGAAAATCTGCTATAAGGCTGTGCTGATATTGCAGATAAGTGGTTCTTCCTAGAAAGAACATTGAATTTATTTCATATCTCATACTGTATTCAGATCACAATTATATATGAATTGAAGATTTAACATGAAAGATAAAGCAAGTTTAGACAGGAATATAGGAAATACATTTATGACCTATGATTATGGAATAATTTCTCATGACATCTTCTAAAACATAAACTTGTACTAACAATTGATACTTTGGCTATATTTAAGAACTTCTGCTTTCAAAAGGCATAAGACAAAACACTTCCACCACATGCAACTAACAAAAATCAGCCTCCAACATGTACAAACACAAAATCAGTAAGTGAGCCAGCAAATGGCATGATAGTTAAGGCAGCTGGATCCCACCTGGTCATCTGTGCAGTTCGAATCCCAAACCCAGCAGCTTGGGAAGCATACTGGATATGTGTTCATGCCCAAAATCCTGACAGGAGGATAAAGGAGAAGGGATTGCAGCATGACCAGCCCTGCTGGATGGAGCTTTCTCACTTTCCTTGTCTCCGTCTCCTGAGAGCACATACACCCCACAGCAAATTAAAATACAACAAAAAAGTCAATACGTAAAAGATAAAAACCCAATACAAAAATGAAGAAAGACATGTACTCTTCTGAAAATGGATGTGAATAGCAGGCACATGCATGTATGGGAGCTGGGGAACAGAGGAGATAGTTAACTTATTAGAATCAGGGAAATGCAAATAAAACCATAACAAAATACCATTTTATGCCTACCTGATTGACCAGAAGTAAACAAATAACTAATGAATCAGTAAATAAAGCTGACAACAGTAAATGCTGGCGAGGTGGCATTTCAACCTGGTGTACACACTTGGAGAACAGTTTGGGGCTAGTGAGGAAAGTTGAAGACATACGTACATTCCCACTGGGCAATCCAACTTCTTGGAATCTACCCTAGAGAAACTCTTCCGTAAGTTCACTAGGAGCTAGGGACTTGAATATTTGCTTTTAATACCAAAACAAATTCAAAATTCAACAAAAACCCAGAAGGAAGCAGGAGAAAAAGTACTGTCTACTGATACAAAAAGGTGCTACAAGCAGCAAAAGGTACCACGACGCATAACTTTAGAGCGAAATTGGCAAACTGCAGAAATGTGTAAAAAAATAAATAAATAAATAAACATTATAATTGTCTTTATATAAAGTGCAAAGATATGTAAAACCAAATAATATACTATTTAGAAATATCTTCTTAAATACTGGAAGCATACAAAAGTGAAAGAAAATGATTAATGTAATAATCAAAATAGTGACAACTGTCTAAGTGTCTTGGGAGAATGAGGTTGAAAAGAAGCACTCAGAACATTTTAAAATTTTTGGTTAGTCTATTTCTAAAGTTGGAAACTAGGTGTGAGGGTGTATCACTATTATTATACACATTCAATTGATAGTATATATACATTAAATATTTTATTTTTTCATGAGAGATTTTTGCTATAGGGTGTGTGCACTCACTGGAGAGATAGAGAGAGAGAAAAAGCAAGAAATCACCCTCATCGGGGGAATGGCCATGCCGCAATCCCTTCTCCTCCATTTTCCTCTCAAAATTTTGGACATGCAAGCACATGTGCCCAGGGTGAGTGTCAAGTCACGAGGTCCAGGACTTGAACCATGGCCATTCAGGTAGGAATCTAGCACCTTAAGCATATGCCACCCACTGTCCCTAAATATTACTTTAAAAACTGAGAAAAGAATCTAGAGCCCAGAACAGTGTGGATATATGGCTTTTATTAGAGTTAAATCTGATTATGAGCCTGGTATTCTTTTCGTTAATCCCCAAATTGACTTATCTGAAAGAAACTTCAAGCAAATGGTAGGAATCCATCTGGGGGAAAAGGACGGCTTTGAACACTGTTCAGAGACTCCCAAGTAGAGACTCACCCCTCTACCAACATGGAGCTGGTGAGAGACGAGCCATGTCAGCCACC